ATTTTAAAGATGTGTTGATAAAGACACATGGTGTATTCACACGGACTGAAGAAAAAAGAAGGCTACAACAAATGACAATTACAGGCAGTTGTGAAGATTATGACCAGTTATTCAGGAAGTAAAAATAACTTGCTTCATGGTGAAACACGTGGCAGCATATAGACAGCATGACCAATGGCATGAAAGTTGGAAATTCGAGGGAAAATGAGGACAGTAAAATCAATTCACAACTTGAGAAATCTAAGAGTAATCTAATCTGTTTAGGAGTAGTAATACCTATAACTATGAATAGCAGTAGTAGTAGCAGTTAGTATTTGTTTAAAGTTCTGTCGATTGTAATACTAAAAGACTTGAAATTTGATCATTGTAGTTAAAGTGACAAGTTTTATTGTTTTCGGTCAATTTCCTGTTATATTTATTTATTTATTTATTTCTTTTCAAGAAGTAAACATCTAAAGAAATTCCTAAACCTATCAAGATATTAAGGTATTCGACCACAATGCTTGATCCTATTATTTGTGAAATTGGTTTGTTTATTGTTTGTCAGCATCACACCTAAACTAGATTTTTACTAATAATTATATACAAATAAAATAATAAAAATACAATTTTTTTTCCTTTCTTCTTCTCCTCCCTCTTTCTTTCTCTTCTCCTGTCTCTCTCTTCTCCTCATTTCATTTTCTCTCATTTTCTCTGGTGCTCACCCCCCCCTCTCTCCTTTTCTTTCTTTCCCTGGCTGCGAAATCCAATGAATTTGTTAAACCCGTTGATAGTGTCAGATAATTGCACTTCTGTATTTTGCTCCAATGGATATATCATCAAGTGTGTTATTTGTCGATGAATTTGTTAATAGACTCGTTACGTTGTATTTGATTAAAAAAAATTTAAAAGAATTTAAAAGATAAAAGAGAAAAAAAAGTAAAATTAGATAAAATATATATATATTTTTTATTTAAATTTTACTTTTTTTTTTATCTTTTTCTTTCTAAATCTCTTTTTTAAATTTCTAAACTAAACACAACTTTATTAAAGGCAGAAGGAAAGTGAAGGCAGAAGAGAGAAAGAGTAGAAGAGATTGGGTCCCACAGGAGCTTTGCCTCCTTTTTGAATTTATTTTTTTAATATAATATATTATATATTATATATTTATATATTTTAGTGGGCCTCACTCTTACATAATACATAATTTAACACACAGCTTTGCCTTCTTTTTCATTTTATTTTTTTAATATAATATACTATATATTTATATATTTTAGTGGGCCTCACTGTTACATAATACATAATTTAACATACATCTGACTTAGGGGTGTAATTTTGGCCCATGGCCTGTAGGCGGCTCGAAACCCGCCCACGGTCTGAGGTGGGCCCGACCCATTTAGGCCCGAGCCCAAGCCCAGTCCGAGGCCTTGGGCCATTGTTTTGAAGCCCAGTCTGGCCCATTAGCCCGCTCAAGGCCTACTCAAAAGCCCGACCAGAGGCTCGGCCCGCCTGCTGCCCAATGTTATTTTTAATGAAAAATAATAAAATTTTGATGAAAAAAATAAAAAAAATTTGTTTAGGCCAGCCTAAGCCCGCCCAAAGCCTGAGCCCGAGCCCATGGGCCCGGCCCACTAGCTCGTCCAAAGCCCGAATATCCTTGGGCCTGGGCTTAGTTTTCTGGCCCGTGGGCCGACCGGACCCAGCTTGATTTTTTGTGGGAGCCCACAAGGCCCGACATGGGCCCAGCCCGGTCCAAGCCCGAATGGGCCGGGCCGAGCCAAAATTACACCCCGATTCTAACTGTATTATTAGAGCACACTGTCAATCTCTAAATTAACAAATAATACACATAAATAGATCTCATTTTTAATATTTTTATCATGCAACATACTTTAACACATATTTTTAATTACACTATTGAAATGTTATAACTGTGACAAGCTTCGAAACTTCTGACATGCTTAATGGGTATTTTGGCACTTCCATTGCAGCACAATTTGCAATCCACAACTAGCCAAAAATTTGTTTGTTCAAAAAAAAAAAAAAAACAAAAACAAACAAACGAACTAGGCGAAAAATTGACAATTGACACTAACACACTCATTAGTGTGTCCATTGTAGATGCTGATGGGGGAGTCGGCTCGGTATAATTCCCTCCCTTTTGGCAACATAAAAAATAAGTAATTTATTGATTTATTTGAATTATATTACATTTATATATTTTTATATATTTTTTTGTAATAAATAAAAAAATTAAAAAATAAATATTACATAAAACAAACTTAAAATCAAAATTTAACTAAAATACACTTCCAATAACGTAATAAAACAAACACAAACACTTTTAACTATAAAAAATGTTAGAAATTTATAAATTTCTATCAAAATTTTTATAAAATATTTATATGAATGTAAATCTGCATTGTATAAAATTTGTGATAGTTTTTTTTTTAAATTCTTGACATTATTCTTTAATGATCGTATTAGTATATATGCCTGTAAATACTAAAAAATAATTGACACAAAAATTTTAAAAAAAAATCAATTTACATTGGTCAATTTTATTTATTTTTTTTAGATTGATCATTTACATTGCTCATTTAATAAATAGTAATACTACTAAAATTAATAAATATACTAATTAAGACATGAAACTTATTGCTAGCCAAAAAAAAAAAACATGTAGAATAATGATTTTTGAACCGAAACACAGGCCCAATCCACTCATCTGTTACATTTATGGTGGTTGCCAACAGACCCCATTTTATTCGGAATAAGTTCTCTTTCATATTTGTGAGTCTTAATTTGGATTTATTTTGATGATCAAGATCGTTTATTTCATAAGTTTTACAGTAAAGCTTATTCATACAAAAAATTAGATTTATTAGATAATTATAAACACATAAACAAATCACGTTTTATTTTACAAAATAAATGGTTTAGGTTTACAATCATATTTGCTATTTATTTTATAAAACTGTTACACCCTAAAATAAATATCATAAACCCATCTCATTCGCGGGAATAGAATTGAAACAACATACTTTTCTTCATCAGAGTTAATATACAAACAATGACACATGCGATAAACATTCATTAATGTCCTATCCTGAACCTACAGCATGTGTTACTGGTAATCAAAATATGAAAGTTGAACAGATATTTAAATGTCCTAATGGCTTACATCTTTCCAAGTCAATCCTTGGTTACAACTGTCACGACCCAAACCCGGCCCTATGGGTTTAGCACCGTAACCGGCCAGTAATCCGAGATTACCGAAGGCCTGCAGAACAGTAATCCAGTAAAACAGAGTACAGGGCCTGGCGGAAGCCAATACAGTAAATAAATAGTGTCCATTGAGCTGTGCGTGGACGACAGGGACAAATAATGTTAAACTTTATAAGCATACATATGACGTCACATAGATACAGTAATTATACGTCATCCCATGTACAGATAACCAAAAACAAATTGTTCATTAAACAACAGAAATCAAAGTATTGAACGTTCAAAACGACATGGCCACACGACATGACTTGGTCCGAAACCCCCCATCGGGAGGCGCAAATGGTGGCTGACAAAACGGAATCCCAGGTCATCAACTCTGGCCCTGATCACGTGCCTGGTCACCTACATATATAATATAAATAGTGAGCGGAAGCTCAGCGAATAATAACAGAGTAAAGGATTTAATGAATGAAGTTCATATCAAATTTAGAAATCATAATTCAGATTCATAAACAGCTTCATATTCATATCCTTGTTCAAATCATACACAAAAGTCAGAGTTCATGCTTAATTATACGTGGTACATCCATTAGTGCAAACAGAGCAGATATAGAACAGATGCAGAACGTATGGTGATTATGAGTAACCAGTTCCATAAAGGAACCTCCAGGTAATAGAGAATATACATGCTGAGCTCCATGATGGAGCCTCCGGTACGGGTAACAGATGATAGACATAATAAGTTCCATAATGGAACCTCCGATACCGGGTAACAGCTA